CTGGTGGGACAGGGAGGGGGAGGAGGGGGAGGCGGGGGAGGAAGAAGAGATGAAGATGGGGCAGGACCATGGGTTAAGACTGTGCTATGGCCCGGGTGTACAACTGGCGAAGGGCTTGAGTGTTTGTATGGAGACCGGGGGAAATGGGGGAGATGTGAGCCCAGAGGGGGAATGGGCGATGCGTTTGTGTCAGAGTGTGCGAGTAAAGTGGGTTCTGAGGCGACAGTCGGGAGCGTGTTAGATGTGCGAGATGATATGAGGTCTTTGCTGCTGTGTATGTGCAGCAGTGGTGAACTGTGTGATGAATGTCCTCTGAAAGGATAATAAAAGTTAGTGTTCTCATGGAGAAAGCTCCTCTTTGGCTCTTGTGTGCGCGGCAGTGTAAAATCTGGTCTGTTTGAGCAGCTATGCGATGAGAACAAGTCCGGGGGTTTAGGAAAATCAAGCAAAGAGGCATCGGAGTCTGCAGTGGAGAGCAGAGAAGAAAGGTTGGAGTCATGGCCTAAATGTGGTTCTGGTGTTGGGAAGGGCGGTAGGCAGGTATCTGTCTGGAGCTGTGCAGCCGGGGTAGCAGACACACAGGAGGAGGCAGGGGCCAGGTGTGTGGGTGCTGCTGGGTCTCTTCTGTAAGAGCCGGCTGCGGAGATGGTTTTGGAAGGGTCAAAAGTTGCAGTGATGGGGGAGGTAAGGGTGGGGAAGGAGGGGGCGGGGGGCTCCTGAGCTCCTGTCAGAGACTTGTCCCGGAGGCGCTGGAGTCGGGGAGGTAGGTTGTGACGACCCGGTAACCCTGGGCGCGGCGGATCATGTCGCGGATCTCCCCGTTGAGCTCCAGCAGCTTGGAGCAGATCAGGCTCAGGTCCTGGCGGGAGCCAACCAGGGCAATGGTTCCCGTCTGTCCCAGCGTCTGGTGGCGAAAGTAGACATTGAGCAGTGTCTGGACCTCGCTCTCTGAGCTGCCACCAAACACTCCGCTGGGCCACTGCCTCCTGAAGACGAGAAAAAAAAGAAGGTGTGATAGGTCAGTATATGTAGATATAAAGAGAGCAGTGCGCTGGGTGTGTGATTACCTCCAATGTTGGGCTTATTCATTTCCAATAACATTGTGGAGAACCATTATCTAGTTTAACAGTTTTGAAAAACTGAATTGTGACTCACCTGCACTCCTGGATGTAGCGCACAGCTTTGGTGAACTCGTGGTTCTTAAGGCACTCCAGTATGGCCTGCACAGCTGCCTCCGAGGTGGGGAAGCTGGGCACAACCATGGCTGCCACCTGGGTGGCGTGTGCGTGAGTGTGTGCCAAGTGTTTGTGTTCCAGGTCGCTGGCCACAGCCGCCTCTGCTGCCTGTAGGCTGGTCTTCAGGTCAGTAAGCTCTCGAGACATGTTCAGCAGCTATGAGGTGGCAGGGAAACAGATGGCAGTGGTTGAGAGTGTGTGTGTGTGTCTGTGTGAGCTTTTTTAGTAATCACAGAATGAACATTTATATCACTTGGTTCAATACTTAAGAGTTAGGAGTCAGCAGTGTTGAAAAGTGTTTTCTTCAGGTCAACAGCATTTTTTTTTTTTAAAAAGACATTTGTTTAAATTTAAAATAAATTTAGGAAGAACAAACTATCTCATAATGTAGCCAGGTGGAACTGAAGTTGAGGTCAGTTTGTCTGGCCGGACCTGTAACACCTATTGGCGAGCTGCTGGTGTGTTGAACACGCCGCTAATGAGAGTAAATTGAATTTAGCTGTATGCGGGTCCATTCTGGTGTGGCAATAGGAGCAGCATGCTGACTTACCTGCTGCGAGCTAACTGGAGCCGTGGATGTTACTACTTCATTGTGAGTAAGTTATCTTAATAATTTTATAGCACCATGGTTGGCTCCTGTTAATCTAATACAATCTAATACTGCACATGACCCTTAATGGGTTGCTTTTTTGTGCTTAAAGCGGTTTTTGTCCAAAATATATGTTTTGTATAATAAAGATTGTTATTTTTTATTGTGGCACATATTCCTATTCAACGGCATTTGAGCCTGCTGTCTGGGGCATTCGGATAAATCAGAATTCTTTAATAACCAAATTTGAAGTGTCCTTTGTGTTTACAGTCAAGCAGAAAAACATCGACAGCATTGACATTTATTGTATTTGATTCTGACTACAGATTACTTGTATAGTGAATTTTCTCATGTAGGCACAGGAGAACCAATAAAAGAGCTTGCTGTAAGACTGTAAATTATGTCTTCGTGGACTATGATTTGGCTCACCTCAGGCACAGAGCTGATGGCATGAACTTGACCAATGAGCGAGCAGTAAGACTGGAAGAGTAGGAGAAGCTGGAAATGCAGCTTGTAGAGCCTCTGGCAAAGTTCCAGTTGCTAGAAGACATTGAAAAAGAAACAGGGTCAGATTCATCAGTCGAAAAACTACACAGCCGTGTACCTAACACATATACACACAAATGCAAAGGAATACCAACACACAATAGCTAGCTGATTGTCTTATGCAAAGTAAATTAAGCAGTTTGTTTCAGAGGAATCTTAGGCAGTGAAGTGAAGAAACTTGTAAGAGAACTTACTGCAAGAGACTCCATTTGCTAGACAGCGAGAGAGCATGTTAGGGCGTCAGAGTGAGGTGAGAGGAAGACAAAGCGTCAATCAAACACATGCACAGCACAGTATAAACCACGCCTATTTACAGTCAAGCTACCAAGAATTAGTTAAGTGTATAAAACCCAGAAACTTAAACCTTATTTAGTCCTAGAGAGATAAAATAGATAACACACCACAAACATGCAAAGAGACATTTTATTGTGACAAAATCACAGAGGAGTCAAGAGATCAGAAATGAAAAGCACAGACGAAAAAGTAACCCGTATGCTGAGCGTGTTTCTCTGTAAATCTGAAACATCTGCATGTTACAGTAAATAACTTTGCCCGTACCTTCTCCTCTGAGTCTCCAGGCTGGCAGGTAACCACACTGTCACCAGGGCACCTGGGAAATGTGTCCTTACAGTTCCTTAGCCACTGAGGGGAAAAAACAAGAGGGTGGGAAAAGAGGAGAGATGGTGAATATTTTGTTGGATATACAGACAGATATAGCAATAACGCGTAAAGGTTCAGTTACCGATACAGCGGCGTCCTCTCTGGTGGTGTAGGTATCTAGATACTCCTGCAGCTCCAGTGCACTGAACTTCATCTTTTCAAGGAGACCATATGACATGATCTGGAAAGACCAACAAGCAGAAAGGAGAAGGTTAAAAATAGACCGAATCTCATTTTCCACTGTTTGCAGATTACCAAAGGCTGATCCAACCACCAAGCTGTAATCAACACCAAGTCAATTATTAATGCCAGCAATCCTCACCGTGTCAGCATCAATATAGATTGTGGGACAATCCGAGCATGTGGTTAGCATCTGTGAGGACCTGAGGAACTTCGATCCGATGCCCCTTAATCCTTCTCCAAGGTAAGTGGCAACATCAGTTGTCAGGAGGCAGAATTTACCCTGGATGTTCTGGGGAAGAAAAACAGTTTGAAGAATTTTTATACAGTTGTAAATCCGACTAGATATGAGCGTTTGCTTGACTCAGAGTCACAAACAGAAACACAGGGACACAGTATGATGATTTCTAAATGATTTCAACTAATCCTTCCTGTGATTTACCTTAAAGAGAGATGAGAAGACTTGAAAAGTGTGGACGGCACAGGACCCATCCAAGTCGGTCACAAGCTGGTTGATATGACAACGCCATGCCTCCTCAGCATCGTCGCACACTGTGGGTTGGAAGGCTGCCAAGATGGCGGAGAAAAATGGAGAAGGGGGAGGAGGAAAACCAAGGTCTTCCAAGTCATCTACATCATCACGTAAGCTGTCGCCATGGAAATGGGAAAGAAATGGGGGTACAAAGAAAAAAAAGGGTTTGATACCTTCCCCGAAAAAAAAGGCTTTGTATCAAAATCAAGTGCTGAGCTACCTCATGAGATTATACGAGCTAGAGAATGAGATTTCTTCTGTGCCACTTCTATCTACTTGTATCTATCTTGTTCTTTTATTTTGAAAAAAAGTATTGGCTTTTTGTAAAGTTAGCCTAAGGTAAAAGTTACAGGAGACAGAAAATATAATGCAATAAAGAAAAATAATGGTCACACACTGGATCTAACTAGGATATAACATATAAAACATGTAGGGGTTGGGAAACACTTATTTTGCATGCAGCCTAATTTTACGCATGTATGTAGCAGTGTTTTTATTTAGTGATTTAGTTATTTACACATGGTTTAAAGTCTATTTTCATTAGCATTGTTTTAACAGCGGTTTTCATATATGAGGAAGCCAGAAAATTGGATGTCTCAGAAAAGTATTTGCAGCACACTCCATTGTGAATAACATCTTATAATAATTGACCTGATTTGCCCTAATGCTGTATACACAAACATTGTGGTTGTGACAGGTTAAAATAAGCAGTTAGACTGCAGTTTAACCCGAGGTTTAGTCCCATTGTCAGTGAATCTGCCAGCTGATAAAAAGTTCCCGTGGAACAATACTCCATATTGTTTCCTGTTCTTGTACTCCTGTCTGTCACATTCACCTGGGCAGACAGTTGGGGTCTAGAAAGTCCAGCGGTGGTTGGCAGTAGTCTGGGTTGAGGCTGTGGTCCAGACTGCGCAGCTGATCCTGAGGTTGCCCTGGCAACTCCAGGGTGAAGCTTTCGCCACAGTCCGAGCCGTGAGGGAGCTCGTTGGCACTCAGTGACAGGTCGTCATCCTGGGCATGAGTGTCCTCATCGTCACCGCACACCCTCCCCTAAAGTGACAAAGATATTACATTTTCCTTAGGATAACAACTGTACAAATACATGAGTACATATCTGTGTATATGATTATAAGTATTATTCCTCACGTGTAGGGCACTGTGATCATCATGGAGCGCTCCCTGACCCGGTGTGGTGGCATTGAAGGATTGTGGCTCAGCAGATGTGTCGTAAGAAGTAGATAAAGAATCGGTGTGATTGGTTTCCTCTGATGGAGACGGGTTAGTCTGGAACAGGAAGGCAAACAAGGATATCTATAATTTTGATTGATTCATTCTGACAAACTGGGTCATTACAATAACGTTTTTTTCAGGCTCTAGTGGATGTTAATGTTGTATTGATCTAACAGTTACGGCTACGCACAAGCTGAGAGTGAGAGAGGCTCTGGCTAGTTGAAGACTCTTCTTCCTCCGAGGACTCGTCTGAATCATGGGGGTCCTCGTGACCCAGACTAGGGGTGCTGCCTGAGTGCTGGCTCTCCTCCAACAGGTCGCCCAGCTCTGTGCTGTCCAGAGATCGCCGACGCACGCCCCAATTAAAGTTATCGACTGTCTCGCCCTAGATAAAACACACATGCATACACATGGGAAGACAAGGGCAGAGGCAATGGTAGCAGTGAATTTCACTGCTGAGAGAATATTAACCTTCCAGATAATGAATAGTTGCTGTCTAAGGGTGTCAGATGACAAGCGCAAAATGCAAAATGATGTTATTCATGGCATGAAAATATGCTGGAAAGGCTGTTTGCATTCATCTTTATCCCATAAAGAAGTTACAATATCATTTATCTCCCATATGACAAAGAGCAATATTGTCAGAAAATGTAGTTCTGCAACCAAGCTGTGAGAGCAAAATGAAGCACAATCATCCTTTGTTTTTTCAAGGGGCAAACAAAGGAGCCAGCAACACCACAGAGCTTAGAGAAGCTAATGTAAGTGCTCAGTGTGAGAGACCTTACCTGGAGCTCCTAGGCAGCGAGGGGAAGAGAGAGAGACACAGAGTTAGACAGAGAGAGACAAGGAGGAGGGACAGAGAAATACATTTAAAATATATTCATGTTAAAGAAAGAAATGAATGAAACAGGCATTAAAGGCAAAAGGGAAGGAAAGAGACAGATACTTTACTATCTACACTTCAAATAAACTGACATAAGTTAAGTGACCATTAATTAAAATACAGTGAATTATGAATCGAACCTCTCCGTCCTCCAGCTCCACGTCCAGGAAGTCAAAGTCTCGGAAAACCCTGAACTGCTGCTCGCTGGCGGTGTCGTCAAGCGTGTCCTCTCTGGTTCCGCCCTCTTCTGATGACACGCCACTCTCCCGCACCTCCATCATGTCCAAGTCGCCACACGATGAGAAGATCACCTGACACGAAAAAAACAAGAGGTATTTACACCCGTCACAGACAGCCGTTGAAGTTCACATAAAAACAGCAACTTCCTTATGGATGACAGAAAAATACTGTCCAAATATACCTGGATAGATTGGAGGACTTTGCTAGGGTTGATTTCAAAAACTTGAATGTTAAAAAGAGTACAGAGAACACAATTTGCGATTGCAATTTGAGACTTCTTCCGTTTTGTAGATTTATGTTGTCTGTAAACAAGCCGACACTACAGGTAGAGTATTGTAAACAAGAGATGGGGGGTAGCTTACAGATGGGTTCTTGGTGAGTCCAACTTCCTGTCCACAAAGAGATAAAACGTTCACCAGCTTCTCTCTGGTTCTTTTCTGTATAAAGGATAAAGACAGCAAGAAATAAGAGTATTAATTAGTGAGGGAATGGACACAAACTCGAGACCCATTCACCTTTCTTGGCTTGTTCACTTTTAACTGCTTCAGATGTTTAAATAACCAATAAATCAGTTGAGCCCAGAGCTTTCATAAATTTAACATTTGTATACAGTATGTACAAAGTCTAGCAGAGGTTGTGCTTGTTAAACTAAGGCACCTGCAGAGAAATATGACTTTGATGTCAAAACAAAGAACAGTGGTCAGCCAGTATGACATAAATCAAGTAGGGACAATTCGGATATTTGTAGTCGTCATAATATCACAGTTTGTTGTTACTAATGTTGCAACACCAAGCAGCATTGATATGCTATACCAAAGACAAAAGAAATCTACATAAACTGTAAGAGATCTAACATTTTGATTTAGTGATACCTAAATGATAAGGTTTAACTCTACCTGAGAGGACTGTGGTCGCCTCCAGCTGACAGGCACCAGGATGGTGTTGGAGTTGGATCCAGAGGAGGTGGAGGAAGTACTGCGGGTTACAGCCATGGCTCTGGCTTTGCCCTCTCTACCCCCTGAACCCTGGAGCTCATCGAACCGACGACCAATCACTGGAGTCTGGGAGGAAAACATAGAGGCAGGCCCTCATGAAAATGTTTGAATATCACCGTTTTATAAATGCTGAGTAGTGTAAGTGTAAGTGGGTGTTTTTAACACTTGTACTTTAACACTTTTAATGTCCATTTCATTTTGTGGCTTCCTTACCTCAGAGATGTCAAAGGTGAAGTCCAGTGTTTTTCCAGGCAGTGCCTTGGCTGAACCGTCCCACACCCTGCTGACCTCTAGGTTGGACAGGTCACCCTGTGAGTGGCCGTACACCGGATGAACTAGGCTGGCAGAGCGTGACACTACCAGTTTCAAGATGTTTAAAGCATCCTTCCAGTGTACTGTCTATGGAATCACAAACACAGTATAAGAGAGACACAATAGCACACAGTGGTAGTGCAGTAAGCAGCAACTAACACAAAGTACTGCAGGACAGTTACCTGGACAAACTTCTCAATGGTCTTTGTGACATCGGCATTGAACTGTTTGACTTGTACAGCAGTCAGGTCCATGTGGCTGAGCAGACAGTAGATGATCTGGAGGAGAGACTGCTGCATGCTGGGAAGGCCCTTATCCAGCAGCTGAGAGATGGAGAGAGACATTCAGTGACTGACAAAGTATGCAAACACAATATTGTCTTGCATAGGGGCAATGTCAATGGGTGTATGAATGTATGAATGTATGAATTAAACTCCCCACAGAAGGATTACTGAAACATCCTAACAAACCAATACTTTTAGTACATCTTTGTAGCCACACTGAGAGAATGTTAACTATGTAAACTAGAATGCATATTTATCAGCACTTACCTCGGCCATATAGGTGACCATGTTGAGTGTGATGTCGGAGAAAGCCTCATGCAGGTAGCGGCAAACCACACTGACCCAGGAGAAAGGGTCCCGTGTGTAAGAACGTGTCTTATAGAGAGTCATAACGTGGGCCAAATGGGACAGCTTTGTGTGCTTCTCCACCAAACACACCTGAGAGACAAAAGGAGAGAGCATAAGAGAGAGGAAGAGGCAAATTGCTTTAATGTGAAACTTTGGCTTTTCATCTCTCCAGCATGCATCTTTTTAAAAAGAAACTTGCTTTAATGCCTAATAAAGCCTGACCTAACCAAAAGGTAACTCAATTAAAGCAAAGGAAACTAAAGTAAACTAGGCTTAAGTGAAGAACTGCACAGTACCTGTGCGATCCTCTCAGCGCTCTCCTTACAAAACTGAGTTGGGTGGCCAAAGTGCTGCACCAGGTGAGGCAGCAGACACAGCACATTCAGAGGGAAACCTGCACAGAGAGAAGAGGTTGAACAACACCCAGTGGAAATAAAAACTACAGACTTGTCAATGAGCTAATAAAATGATAGAGGATGGAAAATACCTACCTATAGACTGTGAACTGTCAACAACAGGCACGCGGGAGACTGGCGTGAGCTGGCAGAAGAGCTGTAATGTGAGGTCAAAAGTGGCCTGGGAGGTAAAACCCTTCAACAAAAGCTGCTGAATCCCAGAGAACCCGCTCCACCTCAGCTGAGCCTGCAGCTTCTCTAGGCGTTCGCGGTTCTCCGCTCTGTCTAAGGGCACCTGGGAAATAAGAAGAATGTTTTTGTTTAACTGAAACTGGAGGTTGGTTGTATTATTTTGTGTTCCCCCTGAAATGCATCATGACAACCTAAGGCATTGCTGATAGCTGGGCATCCCATTGTATTTATTTGACAGGAGGACTTCATTTTAAAATATAATAAACTGTACAATTGTAAGGCCTAGTAGCTAAGAACTAACAGTGTGAGGCTCTTTGGATGGCTCAGTTGGTACTTCAGTTCAAACGACTTGGTCCAGTCAGTAGTAAGGAGCAGCACAGCCTTCAGAAATCACTCAAACTGCTTGCTCTGTCCTAACTTTTGTTCCTACAATTATGTAACTTCAGTCATCATCATTCATTCATCAGTAAGTTTCATCATATCTACCTTTGACAGCAACTTGTGAACAAGGCGAAGTGACATTTGATATTCAAACTCAAAGTCTGACTCCATGAGTGACACTGCCACCCAGAAGACTGTGGCCAGTATCGATGAGGGATGGGAAACGTGGGCAGGATCCGATAGAACGCTGGGATCAATACGATTGGTTGATGACGTGCATGACCCAGGGGTTCTTCCTGTTCGGGCAAGGCCGTGACTGTTGCAGGCCTTTAGATTGAAAATGTAATTTAAATTAGTGATATGTACTGTGTTCAGCAAGTCTGCTCCAGCATTAAACAAGAATCCTTCTTTCTTGCCTGTATGCGGTCCAGAGTTGCACTGCGAGGAGGATCACTCGACTGGTGACCACACTCTCCAAACTTCTTGGGGACCGAATAGGAGCGCTGGTGGCGTTGTGACGACAGACCGACAAATCCCGGGCCAGGGAAGTTCAACTGACCTGTGCTCTTTCTGTTCATCAGTTTGTCGCTAGTCACAAAGTCGGGTGAGGACGTCCTGTGAATGAAATACAGAAAAAATGAATATACTTTAATATGGTGTCCTTGTTTTAGCAAAATACAGGCTGGATACATTTGATTTTTTACTGATAAAGAGCAGAGGCCTACCTGGTTAGAGCTGCCATAAGGTCACTGTTTTTCAGACATTCTGCTAGATTCACCACCACTGACTCCAGCGTCAATAGCACCTCCATCACATAGCCCTGAAACACACGTATGCTGCTGAATTAAACACACATCAGCACCAACATGCAGTATCATTTGCAGAGAAAGGAGAGTTAAGTTAAGTGCTGTAATAGTTCTCTCAAATGCTGCTTCGAACTCGAGAATCTCTCGCTCTCTCTCACCTGCACCTCATCCCCGTGTTCTCCCACCACCTCGACAAGGCGTGAGACCAGGTCAGACACAGCGTGGTTGTTGATTGGCTGTTTGAGGGCTCTGAAGACCTGGAAAGACCGCCCAGCATAGTGGCGTGATGAGCTGCATAGAGCCGTCTGTAGAGCCACGTCGCTCAGCTGTTGCTCCAGGTGGAAGTCTGTATAAACAGATTGGTACAAATGCAGGTTTGTTTAGAGATATGGGTTATTACTTTTATACTTTTAAGATACAAAGTAATTGTTGAGAAGATTTGCTGTCTCTATTGTGCTCAATGTGTTGGATTTTGAATTAAGTCTGGTGGGTTGCCTCAAGAAGTGTTTTCAGAAGCGCTATATGTGAATCATAAGTTAGTAAGTGAGAGTGATGCTATTCTTTTTCATTATTTATGTTTTACAAGCTACTCTTTGCTCTTGTTATTTTTTATTCTGCTCTTGTTATTTTTTTATTCTTTCCTTAATGTATGCTGTTGCAAACTGCAATTTCCCCATTGTTGGGAAAATAAAGTTTTCTTATCTTATCTTATCTTATCTGACATTAAAGTGAGCAGTTTCTCACCTGACTTGGACTCCTTGAAGACAGAGACGACATGGCGTAAGAAGTTAGAGAGCTGCTCCGTACTCTTGGAGTTGGGGTTCTTTGGTGTGATGTCCTCATGCAACCACAGCGGCCCAAACGCTCTGAGCAACAACAACACAGTACTCCAGGCACTGTATATACCCACCACCAGTAGCACCACATACAAGTTACAGAAGCACTTAAATATGTGCACACATCATGCACTACAGTGAGACTCACACACACAAACACACACACTTCACAAACATACCAGTGGCACTTCTGCAGTACAATTGCAGAAAACACCACTGGAGTTGTGCATACCTGGTGGAGAGGAACTCGATGAGTTTATTCATCTTCTCGTCAGTTTCATTGTGCGTATCTTCAAGGTCCTCCAGGTCGTCAGGTGTCACAAGGGGCAAATTTCCAACACTGCCTGCAGTGCTGCCGCCACCCAGACTGGCAGAGGAAGAGTTGGAGGTGGAGCTGAGGCCAGAGTCCACCACCGGGGACGCCTGCCACTCTCGCAGGAAGTCAGGGGCATCTGAAGGAACATGATGATGAAGTACACAGAATCAAATGTATTATTAATATATTGCCCTGCAGCTTTGTCATGCTGTTATGTACTGTACTCTTTCAACATAATCAGTTCTCCCTTTTGAAAACGGACGAAACAATCATTTATATACACCAGTAAATGTCACAGGATTAATAAATGTGTGTTAAATGTTTTTCACTTACGTGACTGCTGGTACTCTGTGTGGTAGCTGGACTTAATGGTGAGGGTCTTGTTGTCACTGATCTCTCTCGTCAGCATCAGAACTGAGGCTATTACCTGGAAACACAAAAAGGAGGGTTCTTCAGTTGTCCAGTGTGGATGGGTGTATGTTTGACTAAATAACTCTCTGTAGCCACTATATGCAATGCCATGTTAATTCAGGCTAAATTGGTATAATGATAACAAATATTAGGGTCCCACTCTGACCTGGAAGTTGTTGTTGCAGGAAAGGGCAATAAGGAGGTGGAGAAGAAGACGTTTGCTGTGTTCATAGACCTCTGGTCTGTAGTGGTCTAGACCTGATAAAATACACATTCAGTAAGACATCAACAGAATTATGATTCTGCACACAAAGTAGAACACAGTCTATATTATAACACACAGATACAGATACGTATAAAGAAGGAGACAAACACAGCAAAATAAGTAAGTGCGTTGATTGTCTTTTTGTTTAATTGTTTTAGATTTTGATTGTATTGATACTGTCATTTAACTGCATATCTGTCTTTCTGTAAATACAAGTTTGTACATTTTTAGGAATTACCTATAAGAATAAAATATATTAAGAGAAGTGATATTGATAATATTGCTGTGCCCAAAAATGTTGGTCTACAGTTTCTTAACTCCTACATGTACAAGGGCTACTTGTGCTTCATTGGTTGCTATAGCAACTGCCAACCAGGTAGCTTGTATTTCCCTTTCTCAATTACGCAAGTGATTAAATTATTTTATAGAGCTGTTGTTTGTATTAGACAGATTTTGGTGTTATTTGCTGTGTGCCTTAGTAACTGTGATATGTATTGAGTCCTATTGTTAGTATGATTTTAACGGATGTATTTTCTGTTATTGAAGTAGAGTAGCTACTGTTACAATAGGGATCTAAATAAACAAACCCTATGTACTGTACATTACTATAAATAAAACATTTCTGCCAATACAAGTCCAGTAACATGAAACATTACAACATGCGTAGGAGCCTCTGTGATTTTCTATGTTTTATAGTCTGGTATTGTTCACTGCACTGTTATTATAGGTGGTGGGCATGATCACTGGAGCTTGGGCGGTAATGGTAGGGTAATATCTGATTGCATTCTAGTGTTCATATTTTTTGGCATTGAAAGATAGCCTGGGGGACCTACTTGGCAATAAAACTCATTATGAATCTGGTTGTTCTTAAGTTTCAGCATCTGTTACTGAAGAACAATTAAAATTTTTAAATGATATTCCTAAAGGATGGCAATACAACAAAGCCCAAAATGAGGAATAACTGATGGCAACACTACGTTACACTATGACGTATATTATAATTATATTATGTATTGTTCAAAGTTCAAGTTTAAAACATAGAAGCATATTAACAAGTTATGACATAAGGAAAAAACTGCTTTTTAAATCTTTCTGCTACAAGGAATTGTGGATGGCATTATCTCCTTTTGTATCTAAAGGATGCTGCTAAAGAAGATAATAAAGAAAGCTTTGAAGCATCTTTCATCAGCATTTAGAGAATTCGAACAGCTCTTATCATTATTGCCACTCAAATACTTCCGGGTCCTTTCACTCAGTTAGGAACCTTTCTAAGTAAAGAAAAGACTATTTGACCAGACCCTGTTGTATGTGTTTCGTGGAAGAATAAATGGTTAAATGCATATCTTTGAAGTGCACCTGAATTATTTGAACTATGCGCGCCACAGTGTTTTCTCTCATGCCTGCATAGGCCTATAGATCTAACATGGATTCTTAGACATGATGCACACTGATTGGATGATAATGAATATGAGGGTTAGTATGCTGAATATGCAGAATGCATAATAATACGTTTCTGCACAGCTGACAGAATAGGTATGTATCCACTTATTAGATAATACAGTCCTTGTTAGAAATGCAGGTCCTGGGGAATGTGTCTGTGTCTGTGGTGACACAAGAGAACAGTCTGTCCTCCGTGTCCGTGTGGGATGAAGATAAAACTTCACACAGTCACGCTACAAGCTTATTGAACGTCACAGAGAATACGTAAACTCCTCAAGGTTATTTTTGGGTATGTGTCTTTGTATGTGTTGATGGCAAACACCCTGTTGACAGCCAGTGAATGATGAGTTTTGATCTTATCTTTTTTTAGTTCAATTACCTGCTGTTCCCTTAATGGGCGATAAGAGTGATACGGACTTGAGAACGTCAAAAAGTTTATACAGGTGGCCAACAACCAGCTACTCCAGTTTTTCACATAAGAATGTCTCTGGTCAAAAATTGTCATGACATTTTACTTTGTTTAAATTAAACTCTTCTTTCTTTTTCTTTTCCTTTCTAATCAGCTTAAAGCTCCATAGACCTCTTGTACCAAGAGAACAGTAGACCAAAGTTGAGTTATGTGTATGTGAACGCTTACCCAAGAAGAGGGCATGTAGTAGCAGGGGCAGGTGTAGAGCCCAGTCTTCTCTCACGCTGTGGTCCACCACCATTTCAGTCATAAATATCACTGCGATGTTACACCTGAGGATCAACAAAGAAATACACACAAATCTGTGTGAGAGTGCACATAATATCCACAATATGTGTTCTTTCCATAGGCTGAGGGGGGGTGTATTGAGTAGTCTGACTATCCTTTCATCCATTCATTCTAAACAGGCTTGGGTTCAAGCCCATGGGATGTCAATTAGGCCACATGTAGTGTCCTGGAGCTCTGACAACACTTAGAATAATAATTCTGTCCTTCAATTAAATTATGGGTGCAATTAAGGATTTTTTTTCAATATAGAGAAAAAATAAAGAGTCCAAAGTCTTCAGGTTGCTTTGCAGTTTAAAACCAAAGATATTACATTTAATATCATGGGGGAGAAAAAAAAACACATTTGAGCAACTGAACCAGTGATTTTTTTGGGACTTTTTCATAAAAATGACTTAAATCTAAATAGTTGAATGGTTTTCTGTCAATCAACTAATTTAGTTTTACTGTATTCGCTATTGGTTTTACCTGTCAAATGTAAAGTTAAGTTAAGGAATGTGCTTGTTGATGCCGATTAGGCAAAAAATTGTGTCGTTATCTGTCACTAAGTGTAGATCATCATTCAAGTCTTATCCTAGAAATGGGTTTTGTGTATTTGTTGCTGCTGGGATTGTGGGGCTTCTCTTATTACTGAATGATAATGAACATGACAAACTACAGATACAGAAACTATATCTGCCCCAATATAAAGTCCCATTAACGTAATAAAACAGTCTGTTCTCCCGTAATGTATTGTAAATACAAGCATCGTAAATCTAACCCGAATCTCATTTTAAGTAATGATTTTGGGGCGTCGAGTGTGACAGAGAAGATAAATGATTAAATCTTTTCTAACATTCACTCTCTGCATAGCAGAGACAGAGCGAGTTGGCTAGGTTTAATTTTCTGCTGGAGTTTATCCGACCATCTGTGAGTAGGTGTAACTAGTCTGTGTAACAGAATACCTCTCTTTGCTGACTCCGCTGATAAGTTGCTGATAGCAAAGTCACTGTTCCAACTGTCTGAGTCTGTCACCTGTGTGTGATTTTTGTGGTTGTTTCACAGCAGATTCAGTGTACATCCATGTTTGTTTGTGCATACCTATGCAGCGGTCCTCTAGGTGTGATGGTTTCAGGAAGGTAGTCAACCAGAGGAGCCCAGCAACCTCCGTTAACAGGCATGGGCAACGGCTGAGGATGGTTGGTCTCCAGAACGCCCAGTAGCCAACCAGCATATGGGGGGAGTGGTTCAGCTACAAAAATAGACCAATAACAAGATGTAGTTAATAAACAAACATATATCCCATGAACTCTCTGAACTTTAATGGTATCTATTGAAAGTACACAGACCATATACCGTAAAGTATATATATATATATATA